GTTGCTTGCCGGACGACTGGAAATTTGCCCATACCCTACCACTTTTCAAATCTGGCGACCGGTCTGATCCCCTTAACTATAGGCCTATTTCACTTACTTCAATCAGCTGCAAGTTGCTGGAACATATTCTTTTCACGCATGTTGTAACCCACCTTAATCAGAATAACTTCTTCATTAGCAATCAACACGGATTTAGGAAACATTTCTCATGTCAGACACAACTTTTTGAGCTGGTCACTGACCTCCACGTTTCACAGCACAGGTTGCTTTGTACCGATGCCATTTTTGTCGATTTGTCGAAGGCGTTCAATCGGGTTCCACATCAGCGTCTAATGGCTAAAATTTGTAACCTTAATCTGGATGACAAAACAACCCACTGGATTCGTAATTTTTTAACAGACCGTTTGCAATCTGTAAAATTAAATGACCACGTTTCTAACCCAGTGGGTGTCTCATCAGGAGTCCCCCAGGGGTCAGTACTTGGCCCTTTACTGTTTCTGATTTATATAAACGACCTCGCATGTAACATTTCCTCGTCAATTCGTCTCTTTGCCGACGACTGTGTGATATATAGAGAAATAGTAACTTCCGATGATGTTTCTACACTCCAGCATTATTTATTTACTCTAACTGAATGGTGCGAAAAATGGCTGATGAAAATAAACGTAGAAAAAACTAAGCATGTGCAATTTTCTTCTACGACAAGATCCGAAACTTATAATTACTTAATAGATAATGCCAAAATAGAAACAGTTTCATCCTTCAAATGTTTGGGAGTTACATTCACCTCCGATTTAAGCTGGACCCTCCATATAGAAAAAATCACATCGAAGGCGTGTAAAAAGCTCGGCCTGCTCAAGCGTCACCTTTATTTAGCTAATTCAGAGACACGACTTCACGCGTATAATTCTCTTATCCGCTCTTCACTAGAATACGCGCAAATCATCTGGCATCCACATCAGATGTGTCTGACTAACATGCTTGAATCCGTACAGAACAAGGCCGCGCGCTTCATTCTGTCATCGTACTCAAGATACCAGAGTGTATCTGCCTTGAAGGAAGAACTTAATCTCCCCCCTCTCACCGAACGCAGGCAGTTGTCAAGATTAACTTTTTTTCACACCCTGTACCATCATCCAACACCATTCGCTCGCAAATTTATACTCCCGGCACCCTATACGTCCGCACGCGCTGACCACGCTCACAAAGTTGGCCCAATTTTTGCCCGAACAAACAAATATCAGAACTCACCCCTTGTTCTGGCAATCAATGAATGGAATTCTTTACCTAGTAGCCTAGTGGACCAAACAGACACCTCTTCTTTTCAAACCGCACTCCTCGCTTTTCTAGCTATTCAAAATACACTGTAACTTGTCTTCATCATGCTCATCTTTTCTAGGCTGTAAATTTGTGTTCCTACCTTCCAAATACCAGATTTTCTGTCCCTTTTACACTTTTTTTATATGTTTTACGCTGTACTTTGCAATTGTGTACTTATGATATTGTAATGTCACTTTTGTTGTGTTGATTCTTTCTTTTTACAATATTGTACGTTGTGTCGGCTTTCAATTCATTCCCCCCCTATGTAATGCCCATTTGGGCCCTTAGAGTACCTAAATAAATAAATAAATAAAATAAAATGATTATGGTGACAGGGCCCGTCACTGTAAACAGGGTGTTCCACATAACTTGACCCAAAAATTTGAAAATGAAAGACACTTCACTGTCGAATTGAACCAAACTTGTACTACTTGCACTAGCCTGTATATGCTTATTCTTTTTTAATTTTTTCCCATACTAATTAATTATTAACTCTTAATTACCTATTTTTTAAATTATGGGCTGTAAACTCAAAATATGAACACTGAGATGTAGAGCACTTTCAGAAACCACCAACTAAATTGTTTCCGGTACGATACATCTAGCGCTGTAATTTTTCCCGCGTTGTAAAGAAAGCCTATAGCAGTGCGCTAGCGGTCCGTCACACAGCTTCTTTACACATTTCATGGGCTTTCTTTACAATGCGGAAAAAATAACAGTGCGAGACATATCGTACAAGAAACAATTTAGTCGGTGGTTTCTGAAAGTGCTCTACATCTCAGTGTTCGTATTTTGGGTTTCCACCCATAATTCAAAAAATTAGGTAGTTAAGAATTATCAATTATTTGTATGGAAAGCAATAAAAAATAGCCTGACTACCTACAGGCTAGTGCGAGTAGTATGCGTTTGGTTCCAAATTCGCCTCCTCAGTTCTTTTCACTTTCAAATTCTTGTCTCAAGTTATGTGGGACACCCTGTATAGTAAATCATAACAGTGACGGGGCCCGTCATAATGGTGTTGCAGCTAGTGACGGTCCCAGTCACTGTAATGTAATGGTAAAAATGAGGGGGATGGGGGTGTTGAAGTAAATTTCTAGCGGATTTAGACACAACCGCCTAGCTCTTCTGGTGGCGCAGTGTGTTGACGCACAGTTTGGGATGCAATGGTGCCGCAGTGCATCAGTTTGAATCCCACTTTGTTATTTTTTAATTTTTAGAGTAATGCGTCAATATTGACGTTACTGCTTTCAAGAGTCGTAATTTTGCTTTTTTGCAAGAAAATCACGACGCTGTTTGTGCCGGTTGTTAGCCCTAACGCAATGAATTTTCTAGACGCAGTGCGTACATTGTTGGTGTGCAACATTATACGTTGTTGCTGTGCGACTTCAGTTCAAGTCACGCTGATCAACTGAACTTTTCTCTTTCTTTTCTGCTTTCAGTATTGTTTCGAATAATGTTGCCTATTTTAAAGGCAACATCCTACAGTAGAGCGATGGGAGGAGCTGCTGGCTAGCGAGAACCTGGACGATCAGCTGAGTCGAGTTTCTCGCTGACGGACCCGACTCGCTGAGTGGCAGCTGCCGCAAGGCCCTGGTCCGAGCTCCCCCCACCACGAAATCTACTGCAGTACTGCAAGTGCAGCGAACTTTCCCTGCCATCATTAAAAGCGCATGCACCAGACACAACCACATCAGCACCGTAATGAAGTAATTATGAGATGGCCAGTTTTAAAAACGCTGCCTAGAGTGATGGGCCTCGACATAGTGCTTCTGTTTGTGCTCTTACTGAACTGATTTGAGAAGCTTTTATTTGTTTTTTTTTTAATTTACTGCTGCGCAAGGTGACAGCACTCAAGCTCCCTACGGCTATCCTCATCCTAGGATACATCGACGCTGCTAGATGCACGTTCATTCTTGCATATTCGTTTCATCGACTCGGTTACCAGCCAGTACTTGCAAATTAAAGCATTCAGACAGCTGCTCAAGCCTACGACTTCGGCGCACTTCCATTTTAATGGCAGAGAATGATACAGGACACGTTTTGCTCCTGCAGAACAAGTGTCACCTCGGGATGGGAAGACAGCTACAAGGAGCACACCATTGTGCGAGTATCTGCAGCACCGTAGAGAGCTCGAATGTCTATCTACGTTTGCATAGCAAAATCACAGATTTAGGGGACAAAAGCAATGTACATATCCCCTTATTTGAAGGAGGCGAGTGTGGGACTTCAGGCAGAGTAGGCTTGAAGTGACGTATTGTAGTCATATGTGTTGTAGTTTTGGGACTTACTGAAACATACTGTCCAACTACACAGCCGTCAGGGTTGGAACACAATGTATATTGACCTGCACATTTGGCATCAGCCCATATGTTGCCTTTATACAGCGACATGAAAAATACGCAGAGCAGATCGATTTGAGAACATCACATTATGTTTAACAAACTATTAGTTGAAGCTGTGGTATAAATGCAAAGAAACGAAAACCCCGCCAAGGGTGGTTGTTCAATGCAATAACAAACTTAATTCGCAGGCATACGTGCCACTTATTATGCCGTTTTTCAAATGGAACTGTGAAAAATAAATATAATGGAGCATCATTGATTTCAGCTGCCTAGAGGTTACAAGAAAAGACAGCAACAAGCTCAATACATAAGCAATACACAGCAGTCACAGCTGTGTATTCACAGCAGTCACAGCTGTGTAAACACAGCAGTCACAGCTGTGTTTAAAATGCATTTATGGCTATAAATCTAGGAGCAGGAAATAACTGTACTGTAAGCAATATTGAAACAAAAAATGCTGTATATTACCTGTTGTAAGCATACATCTAAACTAAAATTGTTTAGCCAATGCACCTGGCATAATACTAGGATGTAGCACATGAATATTATGTACAGTTCATCACACTTGTCTACAGTGCATGAGTGGTGTGCTGCAAATCAAATGAAGCATTATCGTAGTTGCTCTGTTAGAGGCAATGCACTTGTGCCTGTTCAGTTCATACAGTATATTCACTCTGCACAAGAAAACAAGCATTATCAGTGAAGTGGAGTATCTGCTTTAGAATTTCACCATATTTTCTCCCCACAGCACCGCTCAGGTGATCAAGGCAGCTGTGATCCGAACTGTACTCTAGCTGTTCTGAGACAATAAACGATGAAAACTGTAAGCTGGTCACACCGGTGCTTATACTTTCCTTAAAAGGTACAAAGATTAAAACTGCAGACTTGAGTATGCTAGAAAAATCCCTTGTGGTTAAAAAATACAAAAAAAAATATAATGGTAAACATTATACTGCAAGCAACAGGCTATAGAGCATATGCACTTGATGCCATCCGTAAGGATCGCTAGCGTTGAGATCGACATTTTGATGGTTCGCGCGCTCGCCGCATGCGCTGCGTTCGAAATCTGCACAACTTGTATGCTTAGAGATCTCCGGAATACTTTCTTCACGTCGAAACATGGACAGCAGAACTGCGCGTCCGAATGAAATTTCTAAATGGCGCGGCGATGATGTTGCCCTCTTGTGGATCAAGGCTCGCATACCCCCTATAGGAAAGCTTCTGTAGTTAGCTACACCACCTAAGATATAGAGTAGCTATGTAGCAGCAGGAAGAAAGGTTAAGCATTAAAAGCAGCTGAATAAACAGTGACATTGTACTTTTTGTCTCATTACTTACTGAACCATCTCCCATATGAATGAAATTTCCACTTTGACCTGCAAGAGAGATAATGTTTTCGTCATGGAACAAAATAAAATTAATTTCACAATGTTTGAGGTCATATTTGAGCCTGCTACTTACCTAAATGTGTAATGTTTCTAGGTCTCTCTTCTCCCATAGTTTCTTTCTGTGGTTGAGCATCAGATAGCCATGGTGCTACACAACAATCAGGAATATTAAAAATGAGTGATCTTTGTGCCTGCACTACTTTAAATGACATGAATTGTACTGTGTATAATGAAAACAGAACTGTTACTTACAAGGAACATGTTCACTGCAGGCAGTTTTGATCATATTCAATGGATCTAAAGTTAACAAAGATATGCTTACAGTAAGTGTCCCTTCAGTTTTAAAATACAGGCAATTATATCATAAAAGAAGCGAAGTACTTACCTTCGACCAAGCTTTCTGTGTCCTGCGACATAGGAAGTGCTGTAATTAAAAGTGATTCAGGTGGAACAGTTTGCAATATATTGAGATGTCAAAACCTCAAGCCTGTTAAATTTAGAGGCTCTTGTTACACGGCCCATTCTTGTTGTACAGCCTAATAAAGTTCAAGTGTACAGTGCTAATTACAGAACACCATATAGTACTGGCTGCTTCCGAAAGTTACAGCGAGGTGCTGACCTGTTACTCGGGTTCACTTTGAACTTTCAAAGTGAAAATCATATGAAATAATGCGATAAACCAGACTAAGACAAAATTTTTTTTCTAGTTCGAAGCTTCATGGCTTCACTACTCTGTCTTACAGTTTTATACTATCAGCTACCCACCTCCACTTTCGAAGAACTGACATTATTTCAGTAGGACAGCACTAGTATTTCCTCCATTACCTACCAAAAAAAGCTGCGATTTTGATACCATAGAGTCGAGCTTACGCTTGGGAGTTAATTCAGGCTGTGTTCAGTGGGTGCACTTTTGTAAAACAAATTTAAAAGTGCAGCATTCTTTGAACTGGTTCAACTAGTCGACGAAGTGCCGTCAAATTTCTTATAACATTTGCTCTGCACATACTATTGAGCAAGTTGCTTAGTCAAATAAATAAATGAATGAAAAGCTGACTTCATAAAGCAGGACAAAGTCTGTTATATCATTGTTCCCATGACATGATATGTAACTGAGAGCATCATTGCATGCAGTTCTCATGGGAAACTAGCCTGGCAACATGCTTTGAGATGCTGGCCGGTCTTGTTGGACTGCAACTGCGTGTACATAAAGATTTACATAAACACATAGCTGTCATGTTAAATCACTGTACATGCAGCTTGGAAAAGTAATTATTGCCGAGCAATAAGCAATCTTACGCTCAAAAATTTTGCTCTCAAGGCATCTTTGCAGACTAGCAACCTGCTGCTTCAGAATTTTGTTGTCCTCCTGCAGCTCTTCAGCACGCTGTCTCCACATGTCTCGGTTTTTTTCCACCTCTTTCTCTGCCAGCACCTTTGTTCTTGCCTTCCTCACTTCTTTCTTCTTTTTGATGTCAAGAAGTTCTGACTTGGAGCACAAGTCATCACTATCTGATGACCCACTCTCAGACGAACTCCTTGTCCTTTTCCTTGGCTGCTAATTCATGATATGTTCAAGGAAGTATGTGAAGGTTTTGCTTTCAGTAACGCTTCTTTTAGAGTCCCTTGCACTATACAAGACAATGGCACATTTACCTGAGCTCTAGGTCTCTGCTCAGACTGCACTTTTTGGTGCGCATCGTCGAGATTTCTTTTGAGAATTTTCTCGTACATGTTTTTTTTTTTCGCATTAGCTTGGTCGTTTTTCTGTCTCTAAGAGCAAGAAATCACACAGGATGAGTATTGATTCGATGCGAACAAGTTCGAAGGACTACGTTTTATAAAGTTGGCAGCAAAGAAATAACCTTTTTTTTCAGCCCTTTTTTTTTTTGCGTGGGATTCTTGATCGCCATGATCATCATCGGACGTTCCTTGTACAGGCAATTTGGGGATCACCACCCTCTTGGCATGCATTCTGTCGCGGGCGTCGCTTTCGCTTTCTGTAAGAAATTACGAATATGAATACGTTAGGGCTAACAACCAGCTGTTTGTACCGGTCGTTAGCCCTAACACATTGAATTAACCCCAACACGTTAAGTTTGTTAAACATAATCACATTATGTTTAACAAACTATTAGTTGAAGCTGCGGTATAAATGCAAAGAAACGGAAACCCCGACAAGGGTGGTTGTTAAATGCAACAGCAAAGTTAATTGAAAGGCATACGGCAGAATCTGCTCGCCCAGTGCATTATCAATCGGAAATCATTAAGAAAGGTCTTCCTTCAACATCGGCAAAAAAAGAAATTTGATAGTTATACCCCAATAAATTAACACGATTATCATTTAAAAACAAGTAATAATGTGAAACAATACTGAGAGAATAAAATGACGAAGAGAGCGGTTCACACCGCAGTCGGACACCAATGACACTGCACCACGAAATTCACATGATAGGGCAGTCTAACAACCGCCGCAGAACGCGGCATAGTTTTCTTGCTGCATTACCTTGGAAAAAAAAGGGAAAAAAAAGATAAACATTCGAAAACTGGAATTCGAACTGACGACCTGCGTCACGACACAACAGCTACCTTAACTGTGCGTCAAGCCACTATGCCACCAGGACAGCTAGACGTTGGCGTCTAAAACTACTACAAAATGTTCCCCAATGGGCCCCCTCACGTTTACCATTACACTACGGTGACGGGGCCGTCGCTATAGCTGCATCGCTATTCTAACAGGCCCCATCACTGTTATGATTTCACTACGGTGACGAGCCTCCTCACTTCAACTGCACCGATGGGCCCCGTCACTGTAGTCACGATTACACTACGATTGACAGGCCCCCTCACTCTAAAGATAATACTGAGTTGACAGGCCCTGTCACCATTATCACTGCCTTTCGTATACCTGTATATAAAATAGAAAAAGATTTCCAACTTTCTCAAAGGATATCGTCTACAGCAGCGGAGCTTATTGCAATATTACAAGCATCAAAATTCATTGTTGAAAGCCAGCAAAGGCAAAACTTGGTAATATAGTCTGACTCCAAAGGAGCGCTGTAAATGATTAAGCATTTTTATTTTCATATATATGATAACATCATATATGAAATATCAAAAACAATTACCATCTGTTATCTGGACGGCCACAAGATATGTTTTCAGTGGTTTCCAAGTGACATAGGAGTGAAAGTATATTGCTGACAAATTAGCCACTGCAGCACACAAAGAAGCTTCACTCGACACCAGCACCCGTCTATCTCAGAAAGCAAGACAATTCTTTCTGAACTGTGCTACAAATTATGCAAGGACGCTTGGTTTGATGAACATGCAAAGTTTTCACTCTTATATAAAATATCCGTCTCTGTGATTTTCACCTAATCGAAAGATCGATAGACCATTTGACACAATATTGCACCATCTACGATTAGGTATTGCATACACACCTCACTTCTTATGCGGTATAAAAGAAGAATGGCCCCACACTGTGATCATGTCGACGCGTCAGAGGATCATATTCTTCTAGAATGTCCGCAATATGATAAACAATGAGCTGAACTACGTGATTGCTTGAACCGATTCGACAGAAGACCATTGATGACTAGAAAAATACTTGGTCCGTGCCCACATTCTGATAATCAAAGGCGTGCAGTGAGCACCCTTCATGATTTTTTCAATGGACACAGATCTAACTAACTGTCCTTAGTTCAATTATACCTGGCACCATTTGTACGGACTCTATCTTTAATGTGATCCCGAGATATGAACAGGACTATGCCCATACATACTGTGCTCATTCATGCATTATAAGCAATAAAGTATATAAAGTATGTACATAGTGCCTCTGATCAGTTTTTTTTATTTATTTAAAATTTTGCTTGTTTGTGCGTTTAGCTTGTACATTACTGTCATGATGTTGGGATAGCCAGCTCTAATGTAGCCTACCGTCTCATATTTTGTCAAATTAAAAAACAAAATGCAAGCACATGCAGTGCTTATGTCGGCATGGCTTCAATGCCTGTAGGTAAAGCGAAAATTTTGCTTTTAGACGGCCCTTTGTCTGCCTGCTTTGAAATAGAAATAGTTTTTTAATTATGAGTAAAAATGATGCCACCACAATCTTAAAGAGAGAGAGAACTCTTTATTAAAATGCAGAGAATTTCGCCGGCACGTAAAATTCGCTGACTTGCTACTCTGCGTGGGGAAGGGGATCTTAAGTTGGTTATGATTTGACTGAGTGGTCTCATACATGTGAGGCAGTACGCTGTTCTTATTTCTAAATAATGTTACGGTGCAATAATAACAATAAAAACTTCAGTAAGTGCACATGATGTCTTCTGAATTTGTTTCGTACACCCTCGCAGTTACCTTATTACGGCAGGGGTGGGGACACGATTGGTGGTAAACTTCCTATGCGAGAGGTACTGGGTTCGATAGCTATTGTCGACCGAGCAACTAACAGTTTATTGCAATGGGTACAAGTGAGCTTCGAGGTAGTGCTACGGCAGTGCGAAGCCCAGATCATTTGGACGGCTCTTATATAAAAATGTCATTAGCAAGCACTCAATTCAGACTCCTGAAAGCACTGCAAGATCAATTTGCATCACCGCAGCACAGTTGTGTTATGCAGCACAGCTGAGCCCCACAAGCGACGGACACTAAGCATAGTTTACGACGACTTTTTAGAATATTATTATTATAGATACAACTTAAACAGAGCGCCAAATTAAGTGGTCTAAAGGTTGAACCCACGCTCGACTTCTGCTAGGCGCGGTTCATTCCGTTAATTAAAACGGCCTTTTAATTGCGCCGCAGCACCGCGCTCGACTTCTGCTAGGTGCGGTTTATTCCGTAAATAAAACGAATTCTGTAATGCGCGGTTTATTCCGTTAATTAAAACGGCCTCTTAACTGCACGGCAGCACCACGCTCGACTTCTGCTAGGCGTGGTTCATTCCGTAAATAAAACGAAATCTGTAATGCGCGGTTCATTCCGTTAATTAAAACGGCCTCTTAATTACACGGCAGCGCCGCACTCGACTTCTGCTAGGCTCGGTTCATTCCGTTAATTAAAAGGGCCAGCGTCGCTCATGCACTCGCAAAATGCACCGCGGATAGCACCAAACTCTAACAAAGAAGCCACAACTACAAAAAACATTTTCAGCCAAATTTAGCGGCAGTCTGGCAACAACCACTTTTCCAGTCTGGCAACCATTTATGCAACGCCAAAAGGAACCTGGTCGCTACACGACTACGAGTTGTTCGCGTAATCTGCTTTGAACTTCAGAGCTCGCAGCTACATCTAAGGTTAAAAAACACACACGTACGATGGGATACCAACCAATCAATCAGGACAGTTAACCAATGGGCAACACGATTCATCCGCGAACCAGCTGTGACCGTAGAAGCTCGGGCTGCTGATTCATCAACAATCGCGAGATGACACACCACACACAAAAAAATACACAACGGGCGCTTGCTTCTTCCTAGATTTATGGCTCCTATCCACTACGGGGGATTGGGCGTCGAGTGTTCTGTAGACAACGCATCCTCACATAACTCACAGCTCTCTAATCGACCAACCCACAGAACACCTACCCCCGCCAACACAACCTCGTAGCACTTGAACTAGGGAATTCCTGGGTACTACAAGGCGCTACTTTCGCTTGATAGCACAGGGTAGCCATCATGGATAGTTCTATGCTAACATTGGGCGAAGTGGCTTCTAGTCTCGTGTCTCGCGCTGCAGACCTTCTTCGTCAAAGAAGGCTTGCGGAACATGGCGTTGTGACTCGAAGCATGCGTGGCGTCGAATGAAGTGAAATCTGCGATTAATCAAAAAGCACTGGCTTCCTGGGCTAATCTACGAATCAAGGACTAAGGAGCACTGCTTACGACGTCGAAATTGTCATCGACTTAAACGGTGGTGAGCGTTGCAGGCCTAAATTTAGGCCAAGGCATGTGTCAGCGTAAATAGTCATTGTCTTTGTACAGAAGCCATTTTGCTTGTTGATGAGCACGCCGCTCCTTGCTGGCGCCCAGGTTGCAGCCGCGACGCCTTTGAGGAGAGCTTCTCAGTCACTGGAACTGCTGTGCGAATGTATTTAAAGCACGCGAAATTAGTTGGAAGCATCCGCCACCGGTGCCTGCTCGATGTCGTTCTGCAAGCTTGCCCTATAGCTGATACGCTAGGCAGCGAAGGAAAGTAAGCACTTCCTTGCTGAAAAAAACGACGATATGTTAAAGAGAGTGCACGTTTGGTTGATTGGGTACGTGTATCTGTTGAGAAAAGCGTGTGTGAAAAAAACTGGCAGATCCCACGTACACCTAGCCTCCAGCATTCGCGTGAGCGTCGACCGCGCGCAGCGCTAGTGCAAGCGTTGTTTGCCACGCTGTTCCTTTCGGGATGAAACACTCCCTTTCTTTGTTAAACGGACCCTGCACTCTAAAAAAATATCGAGTAAAAAGGGTGTCTTTTTGTCCCACAACAATAATCGTCATGAGGCTTGCGTGAGCTTCCTTTCTTGAAAACTCGGCGCTGGCCACTTTCCTATCGAGAATGCAATGTAACCCTAATAATGGGCATGTCGATCGTGACCGGAATGTACCGGGCGCGGGACGATAGCGCAAGGATGGAACGCAATATAGATGACGATGATTGTTGGGGGGCAAAAAGACCCCCTTTTTACTCGCTCTTTTTTTAGAGTGTGCGACACTTTTGTGACAGCCTTATTTAGCAATGTAACGTGTGTAGCTATCATTGCCAAGACGAATGCAGCAAGAGTGATGAAAATTGGTGAGTGAAAAGTGAAGTTATAAATTCTCAAAGTTGAAAACTCGAGCAGACGACGGCGAGAAACGTTTTCTTTCGCATTTTACACGTATCCTGCCGCCAACGACCATTTCCAATCTCGGCGCGCGTCCCATAAAGACATACCAGAAATGTCACTTCATCGTGGCCTTCACACAATACCTCCCTACCGCTCTTTTAGGGGCGAAGCTCCTTAGGGCGTGGGCTGTGCGTCCCCTGTAGCCTGTATGTAGCCACATCTAGTTTAGTTCTTGCAGTGTTCACTAGATGGCGGTACCGTCCCCTGTATGTAGCCACCTCTAGTTTAGTTCTTGCAGTGTTCACTAGATGGCGGTACCGTCTCCTGTATGTAGCCACCTCTCGTTTAGTTCTTGTAGTGTTTACTAGATGGTGGTACTTGTAGCTGATGATGAAAAGATGCAAGATGTTATGAACTAGAAAGCGGTACTTGTAGTTGATGAAAGACGCGAGATCTTATAAAATAGGAATGATGTCACATATGGCGCGTGTCATTGGTTGAAGGCAATCGTTCGATTTAGTGCGGCGACGTACGCTAGGGGGAGCGTTGTAATAAAATCCGTTCGCTGTTGGCGCGCGCTCGGAGTCGCCGGATGGATAAGGCTGCACAGCGAAGAGAGCGCAAGGCGGCAGCAGCGCGCGCTCGCAGACAGAATCCCGATGTGCGAGCGCGCGAGGCAAGGGACATCGCAAGCCATCTATCGTCTAAGAACAAATAAAAGTTGATTTGTGTATATACACACACAGCGTTTCTCAGGTCTTTACATGATGATCGACTGGCCGAATTACACGGAAGATTCACAGTTTACCGATAAATCCCTCCGGAGCTTCGCCCATTCATCATCATTCACCCCGTGAATATGCCGTAATTTTTTTGACGGCGTCGTTAGCATGGTTACTAGTAACGTTGGTTACTACCAACCACGTGCGTCGGGTAGCAGACGCTCCCACGGTCACACTGTATGAGATGCATACATACGCTTTGGGCGGGGTCACTTCTCGGCTTGCTTGCAAGACGCGTTGGCAACGTCGGCGCCCACCACCCGTCGCATTTTTTAGCATTAACTCTGTTTTTTAGCATTCACTCGTATGACCTAGCTACGACCATATAAGTATTATTTGTCGTGTAAAGCCAATCAGAAGCGAACGACCTCTGGCGTACCGTCACTTTACATGACGTCACTTCCCATAACAAATATAGCCGATGTGTGCCACTGTAGTCTGAAAAGGTAGTTTGTCACGTGAATTGAAATTATAACAGTGTGGATTTCGGTGCTGTAATTCGCGCAACAATATCGGCACATTGCGCAGCACCTGAAGAACCGATGAAGAATACATGCTCAAGTAGTGTCACAGGGTCCCTATGAAGGCGCCCGGAGTGCGCACAATCGCAGATAGAAACGTCATGCTTTTTTTTTTTTTCATTTGCAAGTTTACGTTCAACAGCATGCGCTGCTGCCAATACTAGCACCATCTTTAGGTGGAATAAACTGACAAAGATCATGCAGTAAAATCATGTGAATGTAAACATTCGACAGAAGTCTGTCTAGTTAGGTATGAAACGGGGAAATGATTTAGACTCCTACCAAAAGTTCTGAAGAAACCCGACGTTTCGGAACCGACTTGGTTTCTTCCTCAGGGGTGACTGTGGAGGCTAGTAGCGGCGTCTTCAAAGCACTCGCGGAGTGGCTAATGATCCCCCTTTCTCTCTCTCGTTTTGCCGTGGAGCGCAGTCCGTGGAGTCTAAATTATCTCCCAGTGAAATAATGTTTTTTGCAGTTTATTACTTTTTAATATTTCATTTTATTGAAGTTTCCCTGCGCATCAAGTTTGAACACTTTCTTTTACTGTAATCATGGAGATGAAGAGAACGTGAATCGGTAGATCACGATTGAAGTTGCGCGCATGGTTTTCTTCACACCACTTTTGTTTTCCTTTTTTTTTATCTAAGGAACGGCCATTGTGGTAGGGCGTGCGTCGTCCTGAAAGGAGTAGCGTTGCAGACGACGCTTGCTCTAGCGCTGCTTTGTGCGCCTGCGCGTACTGTTGTCGGTCTCGCAGATTATCGTTGTTGTAAGGCGCTGATACTGCGTCTGATCTAGAGTAATATGCTCCCTACGGGAGCGCATAGGTCCGCCATCTTGCCGGGTTAGACACCATAGTTACCCGGCGAAGCCACTCTCTGTTTTTACGGGCGACTTGCTTAAAGGTCAACTCTGACGGTTTTTTGACCATGTCAGGATAATAGTGGTTTTATGTTCCTTAGACACTCTTCTCACGCGTCCGATAACTGAAATTCTAAAAAAACGAAAATAATTTTTACTTACCGAGAAACTGCAATACTAAATAAACCCACCGAGTGCGTTCGCAAGTGACGTAAGATTTGATGGTGCAGAAGGAACTGCCGGATTGTAAGTAAGTAAGTAGGTGCTCCTAATCCCTTTTGGCACAGGGCAGGCGCCAGCAGCGCCACAGGACAAAGTTGTGCGCTTCAACGCACATCCATACACACGCACACACACATCACCAGTCAGGCGCTTGCCGCGCCACCGTCAAAAAAAAAAAAAAACATTTTGTGTTTTACACGCACTTCACGCGAACACGCACTCACACGTTTTCCACTTTACTGTTCGAAGAAAGAAAGGTCTGGTAGTAAATTGCCCGTTTCGCCACCAGGGGAAACGTGCCCTCGGCAAGTCTATCCAGTGGCGTCGGCGTCGTTTAGATATTTTCTGTCGGCCCTTCGTTGCGCTGGACACTGTCGGGTGTTTGTCCACCTGCCAGCACAGTCTGTCCCAGAGTTTTAGACGTCGCTTGGCACTCTCGGTGTGTTCGACTCGGGTGTCGACGGGATCATCTGGGAGACCCAGATATTCCGCCAGGTTTATTTGGGTAGGTCCTCGCTCCGAGTCGCGGGCAATCCATCAGGATATGTTGGATGGTTTCTTCCGTGGCCCCGCATAGGCGGCACGACGGGTCCGTGTCGAACAGTTCCCAATGCCGCTTCCGCGTGGGCAGTGACCCCGTCCTGGCTTGGAACAGGAGGGCGCTTTCCCGGTCGCCCCTGTAAAATGGCTCACGGTCTGGAGCCTGCTTGTATTCGAGGTATAACTGTAGGCTCCTTTTCTTTGCCGCCGACGTGCGCCACATCTCTGTGCTGGCTTCGGTTATAGTGTTTTTGTTATTATACGCCATTCTCGTTCCGATTTTGCTTCTTCCAGTTTTGTGTTATGGCCGAATTATTTTCCAGAGAAGCCAGTCGTTTCATCCACTGTGTTTTTATGCCCCTGTATCGGAGGTGTAGGTATATGCGCTGGCTGTAATTTGTTTCTGGTAGAAACTTTAGCCGGCCCGCATATTGTATTTTTGACCTTGCTTCGCGTGCTTCGAAAGTTGACCAGGCCAACTCCCTGTTACTGCTGCGTTTGCTGTTGCAAAGCTGCCTCCCAGTAGCCAGCGCCCCAGTTCATTTTGGTGGCGGTCCAAACATCGCACTGTTTGGGTAGAGTACGCCAATGTGTCACCTGCGTAGGTTATTGCAGGCACGGCAAGAGTCTTCCAAAGTGTGCGGCCTACCCTGTAGGGGTTGTAGGAATGCCGTGACAGGTGCCACACCCTACCTTTAGGCGGTTGGATTGTTTTAGGAGTAATTCTTGGTGTTTGTCAAGGTAATTCTTTTGGTCTGATATTGTTATGCCTAAATATCTGTATGTTGCTGTTTTCTTGATGGTGTTGCCTTGGATGGTGAATGTTATGTCTTTGTCATCAAT